TATATATATAATTATTATTCTTATTCTTATTGTAATTATTATTATTATTTTTATCACTGTCATTATCGTTGATATTTAAAGAAAAAACTCTTTCGTGACAAATGATAACTAGAAAAGGAAAGTTTACTACCAATCAAATTTTTTGCAACTTTGCTTCGGAACTTATATTACATTACAATTCAAAAAAACACCACTACAAAAAATATACTAACCAGTAGTAATCTTTTATAAAAATTAAGAAGAGATATGCGCGCAATTAAGCAAAATACTCTTAACATTATATTGATTAATTAAAGAGGAATCTATCTATAGAAGTACTTGATTAGTTAAAGCTATTTTCTAATTTTTTTGGTGTTGAATAATTTAAAAACGACATTTCAAAAGATAATCAGTAATAAGAAGGTTAAAGAAAAGCTAAGCTTAGAAATGAATCATCATTGAAATTAATAATATTAAGGACTTGCGAACTTTCCTAAATTTTAGATGGAAGCTTTGAAATCTTAATCAGTTTAAAAAATATTTAAATTAAACTAAAGTCGTGTATAACAAATAAGTTTTTTTTTAATATCAAGATGTTATGCATCTTTCTAACTAAATCAAATACTTAAAGCAATTCAATTAATTATCGAAAGAGAAGGAAACAGGAATCTCTAATTGTTAGAATTTTATGGTTTGAAACAGTTTTATTATTTTGTTGGATAAACATTTAAAAAAAATTTCAAAAAGGAATCTTGAAAAAAAATCAAAGAAAAAAAGGAAATTTAGAAAAGAACTCTCATTTAAACTGATATTAAGTCGGGGTAGTGCAGTTTTCTGAGTTTTAACATAAAAATTTAGAAAACTTGAATAATTTAAAAAAATCGATATCATTTATAAGAAATTAAAGTTGTATTGAAGAGCACTTTTTTAATAAAAATATTAAAGTCCTCGATAAATGAAAAATTACTCAAAATAATTAAATTGATTATTGAAAAAGATTGAAAGAGATATCATTGTATTCTAGAATATGAATATGAAAACTATTCACTTCCTTGAAACTATTCACTGGAGTTTAAATATTTAATCGCAAAATTTTAAAAGAATATCAAAAAATGGATGGTTAAAAAAAGAAATAATATAGGAGAGAATCATCATTGAAATTAATACCAACCAGGGGTTGTAGATCAATATATTAAGGTTTTAAACAAATAAATATAATATTTTAAACATTTCAATTAATTATTTAAAGAGATTGGAAGAGGAATCTCTTTTATATAAAAAGAACTTTATGGTTCGAAACTAAAACCATGATGTTGCGAAGTCGAACTTTGAATTTTATACTAATATTGAACTACGACTCACAAGAAGCAGATACAGGTTGTTTTAGACAAGAGCACATTTATTTACATAACGAGGACATTTTACATAGGAAGAAACATAGAAAGAATAACTATTTTTAGCCATCGTTTTTCCTTGTTAACTTATCGATTGTTTGTTCTATAATATTTTATATTACGTTGCCAATTTATTACAACTAAACTATTTCTTGCTTTCTTAAGAAATATTACTTATGTGAACCCGCAACACATGATGAAGTTACAACCATTCAAAGTTTCCAAACATAAAAGTTTGGAAACATTGAAAAATAAAATTTAAAAAGAATGTAAATAGAAGATGATTAAAGTAAAATTGATACTAACCAGGGGTGTTAGCCTTGTCTGAAATTTTTAATTTCAAATTCAAGATGGTAAATAATTAAAAAAAAATTTACAACATTGAAAAACAGAATTTCAAATGAATATCAATAGTTAAAGGAAGTCAAGAAGTTGAATTCCGTGCCAACTTAAGCCTTAAATATTATAATGGAGTAACGTTATAAATTCGGTTGCCATCTCATTATAAGCTTAAATGAGATGGGGTTTTTAGCAACAAGTATTTACATACAAAGGATTACCGGGTCCATAAAATTATGAAAATAGCTAGCAAAAGTAATAAATAAGTTGTATTTTAATAAGTTTGTCCTTGCCACCACGCATTATATCTTTAAATAAATCTATTTACGAAACCTCAATAGCTTTTTTACTACTATCTTTCACTTCGTTAATGGTTTTTATTTGATTTCGTGTCGCAATTTTAAGATGATCGCGGACAAAAAGGAATTTATAGCTTTTTTTATTTTAATATGGATACCACTTTTTCTATATTTTTGAGCACCCTATGAATCTTGCACATTCTACAAACCTAAATTTTTATCCGATATTGCCCTCCATATTATCCGAATCCCCACACTTAGGATACACTGTTTTAGTTATGGAGAAGAATGCAGTACCACAACTATGACAGGATAAATAAAGTAAGGTGCATGTAATATATCCATGAATCTTGCACAAACTTTGAAAGCCTTTCCCAAAATATAATAAAGTTTTTTCGAAAGTGAGTGGTTAAATCTGTATATCAAATTATGCTTATTAGTCTCTTTTTAATAATCTTCTAAGATAGGACTCAATCTATGAAGCTTTTTGTAAGTTTTTTTATGGTTAACGGGAAGAAAAATTCTTCATATACTTCTCCATATTTTAACTTCACATTTCCTTAAATATGTTGAATGTTCATATCAATTCGATATTAAGAAGAAATGGAAACTTTTTAGTTTAATTTAATACAATTTGTTTCATATTTGTTTTTCAATATTTTATTAAGTAGTGCTCAAAATATGTAGAGTGCATGCATGAGAATTTTAAAATTGCAAAAACATTTCTTGAATCTCTGTTCTTAGTACTTTTATACGGATTATTAATAACTATCACTATCTATCAGAGGCTTACCCTTTGTCTATTATAATTTACATAATAAACTCTTACATAAAATAATGATAGTTCAACAAATCTAACATAAGTTGTTACAGCATTTACCATTCAAAGTAGAAAAATTTCCTGAAAAATGAGTGACATTATTTCTAAGAGATTTTATAAACATATCAATTAATTAAAAAATAATGAGATTAACTTATTAAACCAAACATTAAACTACTCTCTGAATAAAAACATAGCAATAACATTAAGGAAATTTACTTATTGAAACAAAACACTCTTATACATACTTATGAATTATGCAATTATTAAATACAACCACAATTATTTTGCTGAAGATTTTATAACAATCTTTTATATGATTCCATTCCATCCATCAATAAAAAATTTCGCAGATAAAAGTCTATAAAAAGTTTCGCAGATAAGGATAAATTGTAAAAAAGTAAATATTTTTCAAAACGGAATTACTTATAAATATTTATAACTAATTAATTTTGTATTTGTAAGCCCCGCTTTTAAATTGAAGAAAAAATTATTTTAGAAACTATTTTCTGTAAAAATAATTAAGTAAAAATAGGGCAAAATATAATTTTACATTCACCCAATATTAAAACAAAAAAAATTCGAAGAACTATCAAATATTTCGGTTATATAAAATAAAATGATAAATACAAACTATTCTTACCATTCATTATATTATAAGTATTTAAGGCTGCTGCAAGATCAGAAACCAAATAAGTTAAAAATAATCTGCTTCGACATTACACATTCCGCATTCTGCATTTTAAACTAATAATTACTACACAAATGCGAAATAATATTTTTACTTTTTTTTGTCCCCTAACGATTATAAGATACAGTTTCTAATTCGTAACGTAGCTATATTAGTACTTTTTAATTTTAGGACCCACGCTGCAATAAATCTTTGGAATGTGAAAGAAGGCTCAGCTCTAAAAGTCTTCTATTAAAAAATTCATTCTAAGACAAATAATACTTAATTAATCGCTGTAAACAGTATATATGATATGGTGATAATTATATGCACATTCTGGAAAATCCATAAAAAGATATTCAAAAATATTTTGCTTGAAAGCTTACTGATCGAAAAATTCAAGCAATTCTTCAAAAAATAATAACCTATAAAAGGTAGGTAACTAGCGAATTATCTTAAATTTTATGGGTCATATATGGTAATAAATCCATATAAATGAAGCAATATTTAGCTTGAAATAATTTATAATTTTATTTTAATTTTTATTTTGAAAAGTATTTTAATTTTTGCATCTGGTTAGATGTTATTTCGCACTTGTTTTTTTTTTTTTAAACGTCACCTTTAAATGACTAGAGTCATGAATATAAATATTTAACATTTATTTATTTAACAAAATTTTCATAACAACATTATCATTAAAGCCAATCCTAATTTTTGTAATTGTAAATGTTAAGAATGGAATAATATCTATGGATTTTGCAATGAGTTTGTTCGAAAAGTAAACTCAAATTATGAAAGTATTTTAAATGGTAAGTATTTCCTTTCCATGAGGAAATTAAATTTATGTTAAGATATTTAAAAAATGCGATCAAAAAATGGTACTTACGTGGTAGCAAGGATTTAAGAATGTCTAAGTAAAGCAAGAATAATAATAAAAGCAGTATTTTAAACCATTGTTCAAATCCAAGTTTTTAAAATAAGCAATTTACTTTTACAAAAACTACTTTTTTTATACATTTTATGCAAAAATGACCAAATCTAAATCCATTTAAAAAAAAGTTTTCTTTATTCAAAAAAAGTATGTTTTTGTGTTTGAATTCGTAACTTAAATAACGTCTACACTCAATTAATTACCATATTTAAAGTCACCCTTTCAAATCATTAAGATTGAGTGATAGAATATGTAGATCCAAACATTAGATCAAAAGTTATTCAGGGTTTTCCGTTTCTTATTTTGCGCACTGTGCATAAAATATGAATTTTATGTACTTGTTTTAAAACATAAACACAGTTTCTTCCACTGTATTTCAGCGTAAGCATTTATTAAACCTGTCATATCATTCTTTGCATCATATGACACTTGCATGTTACAAATTCATTTTCTCATAAAAAAATTACATTTTAGTTTAGTTTTAAATGCTTTCATTAATAAACAAAACTAAATTATGCTTTTCAAATTTCAAATTCTTTTCCAAATTACAAACAAATCAACTCCATAACCATTCTTTCTTTCACACGTATATAGATTTATGGCAAATTCTATTAGTGTGTTGAGCTATTGAAAAGGGAAAGGAAATGTGCAATCAGAAGTAGTTTCATGATTCATAAAATGCAATTTTGAAGAAAGAATACAGTTGAAATGCATAGAATTTTGAAATGTCCAGCAAGACAAAATGAAAGTAATGAATAAATACCTTTTGTGAGAATAATGTGCACTAATAATTTTTTATAGCACTGTTGCGACATCAATGAACTGTTAGTTTAAATAATTGTTTTAAATCGTCTGTCAACTCTCGTAAATATAATAACTACAACTCTGGCTGGTTGCTAGGCATCCCAAACGATCTTCTTCCTTTTTCTTGTTATTAATATTTTGTAAATAGTGTGTATATCAGTGGAAATAAAGGAATACAATCGCTGTAAAAGCTGACATATTGGTTCCGAAATACTCAAGCTATCTACGAAACAGGATTTGAGGGGGAGAAATTTGCGTTCCTGCGTTTAAAGGGGTAAGAATTTATTTACGTAACTTCATTTTATTTCCTTTCCACTTAATCAGAATGACTTCAACGCATGATTCGGCAGACAAAATGGCGCTATTTAAGCGCAAACGTAGAACAATTCGAGCTAATATTACTCGCTTCATTAGCGAACTAAAAGACACTTTAAATTTTATGTCGAATGCGGATATTGAATTCACTTGTAGTCGTCTTGCCGACATACTTTATAACATGAAAATAGTGGATAATGATATACACATATTACTTTCGGGTGCGGAATGCGAAATTGATGTATTGCAATACCAAGAATATAAGGATAACGCCAAGCGTGCGATTTTTGATGCCAATCGTGCAATTAAAGAAGATCAAAACAAGAATGAGAATGTAGAGTCACGGAAAGTTACTAACTTTCAGATTCGAAATGTGAATTTTATGTCACCACAATAAAATGTAAAACTACCAAAAATAAAATTATAACCATTTCGTAGCGACGTTGAACATTGGGAATGTTTTTGGGAACAATTAAAAACGTCTGTAGATGATAATCAAATTTATAGTCGATTAATAAACATGTCTTTCTCAGAAGATATTTAGAAGATGAACCAAAAGGATTGGCTGATGGAATAAGTATTATTGCAGATACATATGAAACGACTAAAAAGCTACTTATGGACAAATACGGTGACAAAAATAGAATTATTCTATCTCATTTGGATTTTTTAGAGAATTTAATGCCAATCCGCAAACATCATCAACGTCACTGAATGAAGTTTATATTGAATGCAACAGAAGGTTACAGGCTCTACGTGCTTTGGGCGAAGGTATTGACGCATACGGTAGAGTTTTATCTCCTAAAATTTTACGTTTATTCCCTGACGACATTTGTTGCCGATGGGTTATTCATTTGAAACACGCCAAAAAATTTCAGAAGGTGATATCACACAAGTAATACATTTTCTCGGTGAAGAAATAGAGGGGGCCCTTACAACTAGCAAGATTAAAGGTCTTATGTCTTCTGATTATTCCTTAAAATCCAAATTAGGAAACTTCAATGTAAATTCGAAACTTTCTAAAAGTAAGAAACCTTCACCCTTCTGTCACTTTTGAGAAACTGCTGGACATTGGTCTCAACAGTGCAACAATGTGACACATATAGACACAAGAATACAGAAATCAAAAGCTAAAAATAGATGCTTTTTGTGCACTGGACGCAGGCACACAAAACAGAGCTGTGCTCGTAAGGAAAAGGCTTGTTGTGTGATATGCAAGAAAAAAAACCATGTTTCAAATTGTAAGAACAGTGTTGATCATCCAGGTACTACGTCTACTCACAAGATCGATACTGCTACACCCAACACTGTGCATTTGCAAACTGCAAGAGCTTTTATAGCAGGCACGACAAGTGCTACAATATTGATCCGTTGTCTTCTGGATGGATATAGCCAATCTAGTTTCATTCCTAATGATCTTGTTGATAGTTTGAAGTTAACAGTTATTTCTACAAAACCATTGGAAGTGCATGTATTTGAATCTACAGCGAATGCTTCCCATATGAGACGAAAAGTAAAGTTTGAACTATGGAGCATTTAGAATCAGTCTTCAGTTAATATTGAAGCATTTAAAAGTTCCAATGAATACGCATCACATCCATCTGCTCCAACTGATGTTTCATGGCTCACATTCCAGAAAAGAATGAAACTAGCTGATCCTTACGATAACTTACAAAATCTACCTATAAAAGTTTTAATTGGTGATAATTTCAACTGGCAAGTATTGAACCCTGAAGCTCCGGTTATGCTGTTAGAATCCCTTGGATTGGTTCCGTCACATTTTGGGTGGATTCTGAGTGGACCTCGATCATGCACAACAGTTTCCAATGTAGCTACTGTAAATTTCAACACGTTAACTCAACAAGAACCTATCAATGAAAGTGCACGTTGCTTCTGGGACTTGGAAACAATTGGAATCACCACTTCCCAAGATAGAGAAATGTTTAAACATGATTAGACTGTTTTGAAGAACTTTCGTGACTCATTTAACCCTCCTGGCGTCAAGCCCGGTATATCTCGGGCATGATTACTGTATTAAAAGCGGCTTGCCCGAGCATTTTCGGGCTCGCGTTCTGACTCTGGAACAGTGAACTCCAGTTTTTCTCAACCAGAATATTTCCTTCCCCTTCAACCTCCTTTTGTTCACAAATTGAGAGGCGTATAAGCTGTCATCGTATATAACTCATTACGCTAGAGTATTTCTGTTTCAATAGATGTAAATTGTTCGCGTTTTTTGATGTTTGAACCCCCCACTCAAACCAAAAGTTTACCTTAGAAAAAAACAGATTATTTTTTATGTCCTCCAACATTTTCGAAATAATGATTTTTTTTAAATATTTATTGCTTAATTTATTTTATTATATCTTTGAATAATTTAAATCGCTTCGTACTTTTAAATTTCAAATAATTTTTGAAAAGACTATTTCATTTTACTGTAAATTGCCGAAAATTATTTCATTTTACTGTAGATTGCCGCAAATTATTTCATGTATAAATACCAATGTAATTTTTAATGAACTAATTTATGAATTTTTAATATTATTAATTTTCTACATTATTTAACTAAGTTACTAAATTAGCAAATTGCTGTTTGTCTTTAAAAAAAATATTTTACTAAGAAAAAATTTAAAATTTTCTTATCTGGCAATTCTTATTACACTCATTACTGCTTCTGTAGTGTTAAGGATTTTCTCGGCGTTTTTCTAAAAATCCTATCACTCAAAACAAGTTTTATTTGTACTTAAGTTTAATGATATTAAAAAAGTTTCACGCATAGAGGACAAAAAGAAATCTTTTTCATTAATAAATATATTTCTCATGTATATGAATGTATAAATCCAGCATTTTTCAATTATGACAAATAAGTTTAATAATACATTCAAATTTCCTTAATAAATTATCCAAAAAAAATTTACAAGCTGTTAAAACTCCAAATAATTTTTAATACACCAAACATTTTTTTCCAACCAAACAAATAATCAAATGAATTGTAAATATTTTATGCCACTCAAATTGCAATATACATTTTAAAGAAAATGATTTTTTAAAAAATACAACCGATTATTCTTTTAAATATTGAAGTAATTATTCGGAAAATACCAGTAACTCCAATAAAATGTTTAAAGGTTAGCACATTTCATATGTTTTATTTGTTGGAACACTTGCAAACAAGATTTTTTATCTAAACAAATTTTTTTAAATTAAATTCATCATTAATTTGTTTTAAAGGATAATTTTCACACCTCTCACATCTTTCGGAACCCAAATAAAAATCTGTGCAAACTCGAGTTTTGCTGTAATTATAATGTTAGTAAATATTTAGGCAAACTGGAAACCAATGAAGTTTCAGTGCATTCAATATTCGTTAGACTTAAAAATCTATTTTTTTTATCCGGAATTGAAGGGTTGTTGATAACGAGGGTGAATACACTTTTCATTAAAAACAAAATCTTGGTAACAAATATCAAGTGCACCGAAACGATATTACTTTTCGATAATTTGAAAGTTTTTTAATCCAGATGGATGGAAGCAACCAACTTAAGTATTACAGTTCTGACATTCATACTAAAATACGCATTGATTGATTGACAGAAATCTAAAGTAGATGATTGCGTGATGCTCTTTTTAAGTTATTAAAAAAGTTTTTAGAAGTTTCTTTTAAAAAGGGGGTACACAAAGCGATAAACAAGCCCTTATTGTGATCTAAATAAATTCCAGACTCTGCTTATCATACTAGTGTCCATTACCTAATTACCATAACATCACCTAATGTTTTTTGTTGTTGCTTTTTTTCAAAAAAAAAAATTTTTTTTAAACTTATTTCTAAAAAAAAAGTCGTTACAACTTTTAATAAGTTGATATTTGATGGAAGTAATGTAAAAAGTTTTAATTTTTTTATTTCAATAAATTTTTCTGCTTACTTGCATACATTCTTAGATTTTTCATTGCTGAGCTAGGTGCTATAAAGAAGAAAGAAGCAATATTCTATATACTATTTTCAATTTTGAAAATATTTATTTATTTATTTTTTTGTGTGTGTAACCATTTTCTATGTTATTATATTGCCATACAAAAGGTGTGCATAGTCGTAGCACCCCTTCTTATGTAAAAGCATTTTCATGTCATTTTTATTGGTTCTAATTATTGTTAGCTTGTTTCGCGGAATAAGGAACAACGCGTTTTATCTAACAGTTAGGGTGTGAAAGTGATGAAATCATTTTGATATTTTTCCGATTTTGCTGTACTATATTCTATAGGCTGAAAAAAATATTGTTGGTAGTTATTAACCAATATGTTTATGAGACGCCATTTTTTACAAACGTGGCATAACTGTGATTCTATGTACCAACATGGTGCAAAGAGTTGAATCCAAAAAAAAAACAAAAAAGCTCGATTTTAAATATCTTAAATCAACACTACCGAAAATTTTTGTAAAAATATGTTTATTTTTGTATATTTAACTTCTGTTACTTCGGCGTAATTTCTTTTTCCAGGTTCGTAATTCCCTTTTTAGGTCCATTGCATGATCCCCTGAAATATATATTATTGTATGACGACCAGGTGGCCAAATGGTTAGCGTGTCTGACTGCGGAGTCATTGGCCGCGGGTTCGAATCCTTCTCAGGGCATAGATGTTTCTTTCTCTCTCTCTGTGTTATATGTCCGTTCTCCTTTGTGTGAATGTGACCCGCCCTTAAACGGGTTTGTGGTTGTGTGACGTCTGCGACGTTGCTCCACCGCTGTGACTTCGCCACAGGTGCCCACTGGGTAACAAGAAAAGAGTAGCAGTTCTGGCATTACTGTGGCCAATGAGACAGTTCCCAAGTTCCCGCCATTTAAAAAAAAATATTAAAAAATATCTTTGTATGATCTTGTAAAAATTATTCCCCCGAATTTAAAAGCAATAGATCTAACTACAAAAAATCATTATACTGAATTTTGAAATGATATTCCTGCAACGATTCTTTTACTGATATTTATTCTTTATATGCAGAATTTTATAAGATTTCGAATTATTTTACTCCTTATTATCGATTTTACCCTGAAAATAACATAAGAAAAATAATAATAAAAAAATGCAGCTTTACTTAATAACTACTACTGTAAATAGAAAATTACATTTTTAGTCATTTTTATAAATTGCCATAAGAACAGCGAATAATTTTCACTCAAATATTTAATCGACGAATTAAGAATATATTATCCAAATTTACTTGAAATTCAATACGAGCACTATTTAAAATGCTTTTAGACGCAGTAAAAAAATTTCAAGTACGTTTTTAACGATATTCCATTTTTAGAACAATAGTGCTTAACAAAAACTTTTTTTTTGCTTAATTTCAAAGAAAAAGAGAAATAATACGGGATTTAAATGAATATCATTATTGAAAGTACAATCATTAATTACTTTTTTAAATTTAAAATTATCATTTACTTAATTTTATTAAATTTAAAATTATAATTTACTTAAAAGATAAGTATGACTTATTACTAACATGCATATCAGCGAATTTGTACTTTGAATTAGGAAATGAGGCAATTTAAAAAGTGCACAAGTTTTTTAAAATAAAAAGACTTAGAAGTAGCCGGAAATGTATCTGGAAAATAATAGAAATCACAAGAAACAGGAAGGAAAAATTATCAATCACAAGAATCTATTCAGCATCATCTCAGGGAACATTCCAAAAAAACCTTTCATGTTATATTTCAACTCTATCATTGTCAAAAAGCTGAGGAAAAGAAAGAGTTTTACATAACCTGAAAGTAATTATCTTATCAGAATGAAAGTCTTCTTTATCGCTTGATATTTCAGAGAAAAGTTAAAGATTGTATACAATTCAACAACGACTTCTAAAGCAGTGAATCACAAACCACAATTAATCCCTCAAACTGTCTTGACCCTCCTACACTACCTAGACCGATAATCACCCGTTTTAACCACAAAATGAAGCAGAAGGGGGAAAGCATACCTTTTGTCCGACCCTCGACATTTTAGATATCATCTTTCTAAATGTGCCAGCCGCTTGAAGTAAGTAACTGAGAGCGAGGAGAGACGCCAAAATTGTTAAATTAGTTGATAATCGTAGGGTCGTATCATAACCTTGGAAAGCTACTGTCTCAACAATACCAACAAGCAAAACTACTGCTGAGAACAGATTTCAATCACATAAAAAAAGACATCAAATGAATCTTTGATGACACAGTATGAAAAATGTATGTTAGATTACATTGAGCAAGGACATGTTGAAGTTTGCCCACTGAAAACACCATGTACTATTTGCCACATCATGCAGTGAAAAGAAGCAGCAAGATGATATAAAGTGGAGAATCGTCTTTGATGCCTCATCACATGCTCCGGGCACGCCGTCATTAAATGACTCTTTAGAAGTTGGTCTTAATCTTCTACCTGAGACTGTTGGTCTTAATCTTTCACCTGAGACTGTTGGTTGTCTTTTACGATTTCGACTTCCCTAACCTGTGATGGTAAACAAGCTTTCCTACATTTGGCTTTGCATCCAAAGGACAGATAAAAAACGAGATTCTTCAAGTACAAACAAAAGAAAATACCTTCAGAAGCAGCTACATTTACATATGAAGTAACTACATACAGATTCACTCACTTAACATTCGGACTGTCTTGCAGCCCTTTTCTGTTGTGTGCTACTACACGAGAACTAGCCTCTAATCATGTAAATGACTTCCCTACCTCTGCAGCACTTTTAGATAAACACTTATATACGGATGATTTTGTGGCTAGTCTAGAAACTGAATAACAAATAATAGTATCACTAAAGGAAATCAAAGATTTGATGTCACTCATAAAATTGCCGATGGAGAAATGGGCCACTAAGTCTTTGAAGCTTCAACACTTGCTGGAAACTAACAAAAAAAATTTAAAGACCGAAACTACAGTTTTAGGCATTGGATGGAACACGAAAACTAATACTTTGAGCAACGCGTTCAAGACTTCACCCTGTGCTTCTCTAAATAGGCCACTTACTAAGAGGTGGTTACTCCACTGTGTTGCAATTTTGAAGGATCTCTTTGGACTGTTTACACCATTCACGATAATTGGAAGGATACTTTTTCAAGATACTTGGATTCTTGGAATCAATTAGGATGAAATCTTGCCTGCAAACTTACGTAGCTACTATGTGGCATACAGTTGCAGTCCAGCTTGATGCCATTTGCTCTAAAGAAATTCCTCTTTTCATAGGAGTTTCATCGCTTGATTCCTTTAATTTTCATATGTTCTGCGATGCATCTAAACTAGCTTAAAGAACGGTTTTGTACATAAATACTTATCATAATAATCAATCAAGTATGCAGCCGCAATAGTCGACTTGCACCTATAAAGAAAGTTAGTCTTCCTCGCCTAGAGCTTTTAGCGATTGGTACCAGACTGCTAAAATATTTTTGCAATGAAACTGGATTGTCGCCATCTACTACAACATTATGGAGCGACTTTGAAGTCATCCTTGGTAGGATAAGGGGTAATCCCAACAGTTGGAAAACATTTGTGCGCAACAGGGTAACAGAAATCATTTCATACACTGACCCTTCCCAGTGGCGGCATTGCCCGGGACAAGACAATCCAGCGGACAAGCTATCAAGAGGCGTTCAACCATCTACACTGAAAGATCTCAACATCTAGTGGAACGGACCCACTTGGCTGACTGAACCCACAGAAAGCTGACCAGATTCTAAAAAAGATTACTCTCATAATTTTGAGGTAAAGAAAAATAAAGAAATTCAAACATTTCATGATACTACTTTTCACCCATCATAGAAGCAAAGAACTACAGCTCCTACTTCAGACTGCAGCGTTTTACTGCATGGATTCTACACTTTATCTTGAACTGTAGATCTCCAGGCAAGAAAGTCGGAGAACTTGACATTAGGGAATTATATGATGCTAGAAATTACTGGATACAAATGGTTCAGAAAGAGTAATTTCCGTAAGAATATGAAGCTTTATTAACATCCAAGTCACTGCCAAAAAATTCAAAGATTACAAAATTCCACCCACTATTTGAAAATAAATTAATACGTATTGGTGGTAAATTACAGTTTTCGAGTTTAACAGAGTTCCAAAAGCATCCCAGTTTGCTGGACGGATCTCATCATTTCACAAGCCTGCTGATACATCAACACATATCGAAATGCTCCAACTAGGTGTCAGAATAGTACTTTCAGAATTTTGGATTCCATGAGGTCGTCAGGTCATCAATCAAATGATTTACAAATGCTTACCTTGCAAAATGTCACTAGCATTTCGCTGCACTCAAATTGAAGCTCCTCTACCAGCTGATAGAATTAATCCAGTTACACCATTTTTCTCCACAGGATTAGATTTTACTGGCCTTGTACAAGTTCGTACTTTGAATCCTTCAGATACAGCTTACATTGCACTGTTTACCTGTGCAACGACCAGAGCAATACAACTCGAAATTTGGTGGGAGCACCTAATCGGGTTAGTGAAAAATTGTCTTCGTAAATCTCTTAGTCGGGCACTATTTGTCAAAGAATATCTATCCACAGTACTTGAAGGGATAGAAGTCGCACTTAACAGCAGACCAATCCAAGACTTACGAAACTCTACAAACAACATCAAGACTTGTTGGAAATATTTTGGAAAAGATGGTCCAAAGAATATCTGCTACAACTTCGATCTTATCACCAAGTTCGCAATATTTATAACTCCTTTAACATCCGTGCAGGAGATCTTGTGCTACTACAAGAAGACGTCAGACCCAGACACATGCGGAAAAAGTCCCGAATTACCAATCTAATTAAAGGATTTGAAGGGGAAAATCGAACATGCGTCTTAAGAGTGGTTAGAAAGGCTATAACTCTGGCTGTATATAATAACTGCTACTCTGGCTGGTTGCTAGGCAACCGAACCGATTTTCATTCTTTTCCTTGTCATTAATATTTCGTAAATGGTGTGTATGTCAGTG